CCCCCACTTTCAAAAAAATTAAATTTTTTTTAGAGTTCTGACTTCCTCTACAATAGTTCTGGAGTTCCTGATAGTTTTTAGAAATAGTTCCGGCGATTAAATGGTAAAAAATAGGTTTTTTCATAATGGGGGGCTAACTTCACGCAGCCCCCCACTATTGAAAAAATGGATTTATTATTAGAGTTCTGAGTAGCTATAAGAGAGTTCTAGAGTTCCCTACAGTTTATTTCAATAGTTCTCATAATCCAAAATCATAAAAAAAATAATTGAAAATTCCAGAATTTTTCAAAAAAATTAAAATTTTACGAAAAAAGAGTTCTGATCAGAGTTCTGTTAGCCCCCCATCGAGATAGATAAAAAACATTTATAACAATTTTTTCAAAGGCGAAAAACTACTAAACTACAAAAGTCTGAAAATTACAAAAAAAATTTTTATCATAAATTAAGAGTTCCATGAGTTCTAATCAGAGTTCTGTTAGCCCCCGATAGTGTTTGACAAAAAACCTTAATAACAATTTTTTCAAAACCCAAAAACTACTAAACTACAAGAGTTTGAATTTTCAAAAAAATTTGATCTTTTATATTTTGAGAGTTCCATGAGTTCTGATCAGAGTTCTGTTAGCCCCCGATAGTGTTTGACAAAAAACCTTAATAACAATTTTTACAAAACCCAAAAGCTACTAAACTACAAGACTTTGAATTTTCAAAAAAAAAATTGATCTTTTGTATATTCAGAGTTCCATGAGTTCTGATCAGAGTTCTGTTAGCCCCCGATAGTGTTCGACAAAAAACCTTAATAACAATTTTTTCAAAACTCAAAAACTACTGAACTACGAGACTTTGAATTATCAAAAAAAAAAAATTTATTAGAAATTGAGAGTTCCATGAGTTCTGATTGGAGTTCTGTCAGCCCCTCATCAAAATTAATAAAAAATCTATATTGCAATTTTGTCAAAACTTAAAAACTACTGAACTACAAGACTTTGAATTTAAAAAAAAATTTATCATAAATTGAGAGTTCCATGAGTTCAGTCATGTAAAGTTAATACTACTTTTTAAAAAAATCAAAAATTTTACAAGAGTTCTGGGTACTTTAGCAATAGTTCTAGAGTTCTCTAACGATTATTTAAATAGTTCTGATGATTAACAATAAAAAAAGCGACAATGAAAAATCATAGTGCTAACTTTGCATAGCACTATGATTTTTGCAAAAAAGAGTTCTGACCTAATATTATGAAAAAGAATAAAGAGTTCTAGAGTTCTCTACCAAAGAAAACAAGAGTTCTGCAAAGTTTCAAAAGTTATTAACAAATTAAAAAAGTTATGAAAATAATATTCTTCAAAATTTTAAAATTCAGAGTTCTGAGAGTTCTGAAAAGAGTTCTGGAATCGTCATAAAGAGTTGTATAAGTATTTCTAATGACATTTTGTTCTAAATCCAAAATTAAAAAATTACAGAACTTTGAAATATTCAAAAAATTTAAAACTTCAAAGTTCTGAGAGTTCTGAAAAGAGTTCTGGCATCGTCATAAAGAGTTCTATAAGTATTTCTATTTTCTAATGACATTTTGTCCTAAAATAAAAAAAAAATGTTACGGGACATTCAAGTTTTCAAAAAATTTTAAATTTCAGAGTTCTGATAGTTCTGAAAAGATTTCTGGCATCGTAATAAAGAGTTCTATAAGTATTTCTAATGACATTTTGTTCTAAATCAAAAAATCAAAAAAGTTACGGGACATTGAAATTTTAAAAAAATTTCAAAATCCTGTAATTTTTTTGATTTTGGGCTTAGAGAAAAATGTCATCAGAGTTGCTTCTAGAACTCTTCGCAATGATGCTAGAACTCTAATCAGAACTCTCAGAACTTTGAAGTTTTAAATTTTTTTAATATTTCAAAGTTCTGTAATTTTTTGATTTTGGATTTAGAACAAAATGTCATTAGAAATACTTATACAACTCTTTATGACGATTCCAGAACTCTCAGAACTCTGAATTTTAAAATTTTGAAGTTTTTTGAAAACTTCAATGTCCCGTAACATTTTTGATTTTGGATTTAGAACAAAATTTTATGAGATATACTTGTAAAACTCTTTGCAACAATGCCAGAACTCTATTCAGAACTCGCAGAATATTATTTTCATAACTTTTTTAATTTGTTAATAACTTTTGAAATTTTGCAGAACTCTTGTTTTCTTTGGTAGAGAACTCTAGAACTCTTTATTCTTTTTCATAATATTAGGTCAGAACTCTTTTTTGCAAACATCATAGTGCTATGCAAAGTTAGCACTATGATTTTTCATTGTCGCTTTTTTTATTGTTAAGGGGTCTTGTAACTTCTTTAGGCATTAAAATCGGAAGTTTTTAAAAAATTTTTTGCTCTTAAGTTTTAAAATATAATTGATCAAAAGTTTTTACATATCATTGTGTATGTTAGGAAGTCTTAAAAAAAGAATTTCATATTTGAAAAAACTTAAGTATCTTCTTTCTACAGAGGGCGCTTTGGTCACTGGTAAAAATTATTGGTTGTCATTGTAGCTCATAGCAGAATCGTCTAAAATCAAAAAATCAAATTTTATTTCAAAATGGACGACTTAATACAGGACCTAAACCTCTTATTTACTACTAATGTACAAAATTACACTTTTTGTGTATCATTTATGTTAAAAAAAATTGTGTTTTTTCAGATTCTTAGATTCAAAAGCTTGCCATTTTCTTAATTTTTGATATTTTTAAGTATTTCGAGGTTTAGGTCCTGTATTAAGTCATCTATTTTAAAATTATGTTCGATTTTTTTATTTTTAATGATTCTGCTATGAGCTACATAGACAACCGTAATTGAAAGTAATTTTTACCAGTAGACAAAGAGCCCTCTGTAGAAGGAAGGTATATATATTTTTTCCAATCTGAAATCCTTTTTTTAAAACTTCTTAACATACACAATGACATGTAAAAACTTTCGATCAATTATATTTTAAAACTTATGAGCAAAAAATTTTTTAAAATCATCCGATTTTAGTGCTAAAAAAGTTACAAGACCCCTTAATCATCAGAACTATTTAAATAATCGTTAGAGAACTCTAGAACTATTGCTAAAGTACCCAGAACTCTTGTAAAATTTTTGATTTTTTTAAAAAGTAGTATTAACTTTACATGACTGAACTCATGGAACTCTCAATTTATGATAAATTTTTTTTTAAATTCAAAGTCTTGTAGTTCAGTAGTTTTTAAGTTTTGACAAAATTGCAATATAGATTTTTTATTAATTTTGATGAGGGGCTGACAGAACTCCAATCAGAACTCATGGAACTCTCAATTTCTAATAAATTTTTTTTTTTTGATAATTCAAAGTCTCGTAGTTCAGTAGTTTTTGAGTTTTGAAAAAATTGTTATTAAGGTTTTTTGTCGAACACTATCGGGGGCTAACAGAACTCTGATCAGAACTCATGGAACTCTCAAAATATAAAAGATCAAATTTTTTTGAAAATTCAAACTCTTGTAGTTTAGTAGTTTTTGGGTTTTGAAAAAATTGTTATTAAGGTTTTTTGTCAAACACTATCGGGGGCTAACAGAACTCTGATTAGAACTCATGGAACTCTTAATTTATGATAAAAATTTTTTTTGTAATTTTCAGACTTTTGTAGTTTAGTAGTTTTTCGCCTTTGAAAAAATTGTTATAAATGTTTTTTATCTATCTCGATGGGGGGCTAACAGAACTCTGATCAGAACTCTTTTTTCGTAAAATTTTAATTTTTTTGAAAAATTCTGGAATTTTCAATTATTTTTTTTATGATTTTGGATTATGAGAACTATTGAAATAAACTGTAGGGAACTCTAGAACTCTCTTATAGCTACTCAGAACTCTAATAATAAATCCATTTTTTCAATAGTGGGGGGCTGCGTGAAGTTAGCCCCCCATTATGAAAAAACCTGTTTTTTACCATTTAATCGCCGGAACTATTTCTAAAAACTATCAGGAACTCTAGAACTATTGTAGAGGAAGTCAGAACTCTAAAAAAAATTTAATTTTTTTGAAAGTGGGGGGCTAACTTCACATACATCAAAAATTCTTCTTATTAAATCAAATAATTTTACTTTTTTTTAAAAAAGTTCTTTGAGAATTTTTAAATCCGTTTGTTTACAATTCAATTTTACGTAATTTCGATTATTCGAAAATTCTCCAATCAAATATATAATTAGAAAATAAAAACTTTAAGTAATTTCAAAACAAAATTAAAAAACTTTTTCAAAAAAATTAATTCTGAGTAAGAATTCCTGAGGTGTAACAGCAAATTTTAAGATTTACTGTATTTACTTGGTGATACATAAAAATGAAACATAATTATGAGTTAATTAAATGCCTTAAAGAATTTTAAAAAAAAATTAAATTTCACTTTGTTATAAACAATTGAAGTTTTTTGCAGTGTTTTATTAAAAAATTAATATCTCGAAACAGAATAAACGAATCGTTATAAAATTTAGTATGTATACTCAGAAAATGATGTAGTTTCAAATGAAATAATTACAAAATTAAATTGTTTAATTTTTGTAATTGTTATTGCAAATTTAATTGTTTATTTGTAAAATAAACAATGTTCTTAACGTCGTAGGAAGTTCGTTCAAATTTCATCGTAAAGGCTTTCTTATAATATAACGATTTGTTAGAATAATGGCTCTGAAAAAAGCGCGTCAGGAAGTGAACACGAGGCGAATTCTTATATAAAACGCTGATTTATTTTTAATCAACAATTTGGCTCCAATCCATACACAAAATCATCACATATTAAAGTAAAAAAAAGAGATTAAACACGAAAGAAGTCCGAGTCCATAAAGTTCACATTTTCCACTTAAAATTGAATTAAAACATTGTTAGACCATAAACCACCATGAGAGAGCAAACCAAAAAAAGCCGAACTGAGCTCCCCCTACACTGCGAGGAACACACAATCTCCGTAAACGACCGAATACTTTCGAAGTCCACCGAGTTCCAAATCGCGGGTAATTCAATTTCCAACATCCTGCCCGGTCGAGCCGATGGGCTCGAAATTAGTTAGTAAAGGACACAAGCGTTGAACTGCTCTGGTATAGGTTCCATGTGCTGTCCTAATTGTAGCATTGCGTACAAGACCGTCCTTGCCAGGATAAATTGTTTCCACTCTCCCAAGCCGCCATTGAGTAGGTGGAAGGTTCTCATGACGAACGAGAACCACATCTCCGACCTGTAGATTGGTGATACGATTTTTCCACTTGCCCCGTAATTGTAAGGTTGCCAGATATTCATCGTGCCAACGCTTCCAAAATTGCTGTTGCAGTTGTCTCAGCCATTGCCATTGTTTTAGATGATTTACAGGGAGATTCGTGACATCAGGTTCTGGAACTGCAAGGAGTGGTCTGCCAATAAGAAAGTCGCCGGGACTTAATGCGATTCTGTCTTCCGGATCATCGGTCAAGGGAGTGATTGGGCGAGAATTAAGACAGGCTTCAATTCGCGCCGCTAGGGTTTGCCACTGCTCAAAGCGGAGTACCTGATTTCCAATAAGTTTTATTAAATGTTTCTTGGCAGATTTCACCGCCGCTTCCCACAAGCCACCCTGGTGTGGTGAACCAGGTGAGATAAACTGCCAAGTTGTTCCAAGATTCGCCAATTTTTGTTGATTCTGCTCAGACTGCCATTGCGCTAAATCCTCCTGAAGTATGCGGTTAGCACCGACGAATGTGGTAGCGTTATCACTAAATAACTTGCGCGGAATACCTCTTCGACTAGTAAAGCGAGTGAATGCGTCCAGAAAGGCTTGCGATGACAGATCCAAGACGACCTCGATGTGGGTCGCTTTGGTTGTCATGCAAACAAAAATTGCCAGGTAAGTTTTGCTCGTAATCTTGGATCGCGGACCACCCACGCGTAATGTAAACGGTCCACAGTAATCGAGTCCTGATGCGAAAAAGGGCTGGAGCTGCGATCCATCCTCACCCACTCGAACTCCTGGAAGTGGGGCCATTTGTTGAGTGATTGTTTGACCTCGAAATCGTCGACAAATTATACACTGATTGATACACCTTTTTGCTGCTTGACGAGCTTGTAAAATCCAGTATCGTGAACGTAGATTTTGAAGCATAAGTTGTGCTCCACCATGCAATGTGTCAATGTGGGATTGTTGAATGAGAAGTTTAGCCAATAATCCGTCCTTTGGAAGAATGATCGGGAATCTGCTGCCGACTGGAAGCGAGGCGTTGCGAATTCTACCACCAAGGCGTAAAATTCTTGTATCATCCACATACGGATTAAGCGAAGCCAATCGACTAGTAGAGGGAAGAGGAAGATTTTTTCGTAAGGCATTAAGTTCCACACTGAATGCCTGGCTCTGTTCAACTCGAATCAAATGATCCAATGCCGTATCCAATTCTCTTGCGCTGATAATCGACTGATGTAAAAGATGTTTTCGGGATGGGCTCCAACGCCGCACCAATGCCATTGTTCCCAAAAGGCGTCGTAAATTACTGAATCGTGTGATGAGTGGAATTAGCTCTCCGTCCAATTGACGAGTCGTGATTGATAGGGTGTGTGAATGTGTGACTGCCATCAGCACAGAAATCCTTTCCTCTTCTTGAACATCGATAAGATCGGACACAGAAGGTTGTGTAGATTCTTCTTGCTCCGGAAAACCACTGTTCAGCCACTGAGGACCTTGCCACCATAATTTATGTTTCAGGAGATCTGTTGCTTTCAGTCCTCGGCTGGCGCAGTCTGCTGGGTTCTCAGTTGTGCGAACATGATGCCACTGTGATGGAATTGTCAATGACTGTATTTGCCGTACTCTATTAGCGACATACGGCTTGAGTTGGGAAGGCTGCTTATTCAGCCAACAAAGAACAATCCTAGAATCGGACCATAAAAAGCAAGATGTATCCTGTATGCGCAAAGATGTACGCACGTTGTCCCAAGTTGATGCCAATAGCTGAGCTGCGCAGAGTTCTAATCGTGGAATAGTTGCTCCCTTCTTTGGAGCCACTTTCGTTTTTGCTGTTAACAATCCAATTTTGACTTGTCCATTTTCGTCAACAGTGCGAGTGTAAATCACTGCTGCGTAAGCGCGAGTACTAGCGTCACAAAAACCATAAAACGTAGTTTGTTCTGTTTCTTCCATTCCCACCCACCTTGGAACACGCAGATGTTGTAGTTCAGAAAGTCCATTGCAAAAAATGTTCCACTCCTTTGCCAAATCTTCTGGAAGGGGTGTGTCCCAATCAATACCCGATAACCACAAGCTCTGGATGAAGATTTTTGCAGTGATAATGACAGGTGCCACCAATCCTGTTGGATCGAATAATCGCGCTATTGCACTGAGGACACGTCGTTTCGTTGGTTGATCGTTGCACTGTGGAAAGTCTATACTGTAGAGAAGCTCATCCGTTACAGGATCCCAGAGTAAGCCAAGAACTGAAGTGCAAACACTGTTGACTGTCAAAGGCACAGGTGATGCAGCTTCTCCAGTGATTTGTTCAATTACCGCAGGGTCATTGGAATTCCACTTGCGCAGATTCAATTGTCCAGCAGAAAGAATCGTTGACACATCTTTAGACAACTGTACGGCAAGTGTCGTCGTTCTGGCACTGGTCAGGAAGTCGTCTACATAAAATGAATCGAGAATAGCTTGTCTAGCAATTTCTGCCCGGATGGGATCAGCCACTTGATGAAAGTTGTCATTTGCACATTGATTCAAAGCACGCACTGCTAAGTAGGGACTACTGGCCATTCCGTATGTCACGGTTTTCAGACGATAGATTCCAATTGGTTCCTCGGGAGACTCTCGCCAAACGATGCGTTGAAAATCTCGATGCTCAGGTGTTATAAGTGTTTGCCTAAACATTTTCTCGATGTCTGCGTTGAGTGCGATTCTGTAGCGTCGAAATCGAAAAATGATGTTTAGAAGCGACTCCTGGAGCGTTGGTCCAACAAGCTGAATATCATTGAGGGATACGCCGGTTGTAGTTCGCGCGGAAGCGTTGAATACCACTCGAAATTTAACTATCACAGCATGATGTGGGATATAATAACAATTTTCATGATCTCCAGGTTGATCACAGGGTTCCATATGATCCAAGGCCAAATACTCCCTCATAAAGGACAGATAATTTGCACGAAACTCCTCATCAGTCGTCATGCGTCGTTCCATTGAATAAAATTGTCGTAAAGCTTGCCGATAAGATCCTCCCAAGGCCAAGGCATCACTGCGGAAAGGAATGTTGACACAGTACCTTCCATTTGAAGTTCGTTTGAAAGTAGTTGAGAATAAAAGCTCGCAATCATTATCGTTGACGTGGTTTCCCTCAGGTACCTCCTACAATTTCCAAAAGGCTTGAAGCAAGTCACTTAGATTGTCATCATCCTCTTTGACATAAACATTGAAAGTTTTTTGAGTACTATGATTCGCTGAGATTTGTGAAGTGGGACCAAATACCACCCAACCAAATTTAGTTCGTTGAGCAAAGGGTTCCTCATTCGATTTTCCTCGGATTAAATCGGCCTCGACAATGAGACCCCACGAATCTGCTCCGAGAAGGATGTCAATACCACTAGGTATTCCAAAATTTGGATCAGCCAGGTTTAAATTCGTAAGGTGTTTCCATTGCTTGCAATTGACGCGCAGAGTCGGAGTAATTGACGTTATTGTCGGAATAACTAAAGCAATCAAAGTCATTGAAAAATCGTGATGAGTAGAATGAAGTTGCACACTTACAAGACCCTTTGTCCGCGTGTTTACAGACGCACCAACACCTTCCACTTCCACTTCGCACCGTGTCCTTCGTAGGTGTAGAGAATTTGCCAAACGTTCTGTTATCAAACTGATCTGCGAACCAGGATCACATAAAACTCTCGCTACATGTTGTTCCAAATTATCACTTGTTGCCATCACGATCGCTGTTGCCAATAAAACCATTGAAGAATTCTGAATAGTCATTGTCTTCACAGTCTGTTGTTGTCAAGATCTTGGAGGGCCCCTCGAAACAGCTTGTGCAAAACCTTGGCCTTCTGGTAATGACAAATTGCTCTCTGCCTGTTTATTGCCGTCTGTAATCATGGGCGATTGCGAATCCCTACAAAACATAGTATGATGTCTCTTACCACACACTCGACATCCTCCAGATCCACAATCCCTGGAGGAGTGACCCGGTTTAAGACAATTAAAGCAGAGATTGGAATTCTTGAGCTCGCTGAACCTCTGACTGGGTGACATTGTTGATAGTTTTGAGCATCGGGTAATCCTATGTGGTCCGTGACAATAGGGACAACCGAGTTCATCCTTTACCACTAAATTTGTCCTCACCAAACGCTGCCCGGGTTGTCCTGTTTGTCTCTGTTGCGCTGAATTTTGAGGGGCAACCGGTCGTTTTATTCCCTGTACTGCCTGGGAAGATAGACTATGTGCTCTTTTCTCCAAGAATTTAAGTAAGTCCTGTAATTTTGGAATTTCATTTGACGAACATGCCATTCCCCACTCGCGTTGCGTCAAAGAAGGTAATTTCGACATTACTATCGGAACTGTTAATGCATCCCACTGATCTACCGGAAGTTCCATTACACGAAGCGCTCGCAATGATTCTTGCACTGTATCCACAACTAATAATAGTGCTTTCGAAGTTTCCTCACTAACCATCTTCATGTTTAAAAATCTCGAAACATGAATTTCCGCCAACTGTTTCGGACTGTCATAACGATCACATATTGCCTTCCACACTTCCGCGTAACCCCCTGTATATAAACCACCAATAAGCGGCACTGTCTCGACACTCACTGTTTGACGAAGTTTGCCAAGTTTGTATGCCTCGGGGTAGTCCACATTTTGCACTAATGTCGTAAATGCATCCTTAAAGGCTAGCCAATTGTGAAGTGAACCGTCAAATTTGGGTATCACTAGTGGATCCAATTTTAAATCAACTCGAGGATGCTCTGCTTGCACTTCCGGTGTAGGGTTAGTTGCATTCCTTGCAAGTAATCGACGAATCGCTGCTTTCGCACTGATAAAGTGAGCCTCTGATTGTTCAAAGAATTGTTCGTGAGCTACTATCGCCGCTTCGTCTGTAGAAATTGACACTAAGTGTGTGTGCGCTGTCCTGAAATTATTCCAATGTTGTTCGATAGCTGGGAGCAATTCTTCCAACTCAAACCTGTCAAGTTCAAATTCTTCCTCGGTAACACGCTCGAAAAAACGTCGCAATCCACGTCGCGCGGTTTCGCGAATGTTAAGTTCAGCCATAATTTCCAAAAAGTCAAAATTAACCGAAAGCAAAATTATTTGAATAAATTGTCTGTTTGAAAGCGAATAATAATAAGCGAATTGTAATAATAATAATGATAGTCGCGCGCACGTACACTCTCCTCAGCTGTCGAGTAGTTCGGAAACCGAAGTGCGACGGAAACTCCCGAAATCTCCACGACTTTACAACACAAAAACGTTCGAAAATTCTAACCTCGAAAAAATAGGACGCCGTACTAAATACGTCGTGCATACACAAAATGAGGAAATACACTTCTCCTATCCAAGTTGTCAAAACAAAGAAAGTGAGATCCAATGCCAGTAGTCCACCTTCAATTTACAGGCGCCACTCACAACCGAAACACTGCTGTATTCAAAGCTCCACTGAAACATCCGCGCGCGTCCACAGGCAAAAGTTCAAGTGCAAAATTCACGAAATTCGAGTTTTCACTGTCCTAAACGCACCACAAGTCACAAAAGGTCTTGTGAAGTCAAAATACCTCACAGGTGGCACCAAAATGTTAGAATAATGGCTCTGAAAAAAGCGCGTCAGGAAGTGAACACGAGGCGAATTCTTACATAAAACGCTGATTTATTTTTAATCAACAATTTGGCTCCAATCCATACACAAAATCATCACATATTAAAGTAAAAAAAAGAGATTAAACACGAAAGAAGTCCGAGTCCATAAAGTTCACATTTTCCACTTAAAATTGAATTAAAACATTGTTAGACCATAAACCACCATGAGAGAGCAAACCAAAAAAAGCCGAACTGAGCTCCCCCTACACTGCGAGGAACACACAATCTCCGTAAACGACCGAATACTTTCGAAGTCCACCGAGTTCCAAATCGCGGGTAATTCAATTTCCAACACGATTCAATACCAGTTTTGAAATTTGGTGTCCCGCAATTAGGAACAAAGTTATGAATTTTTTTCTGCCGGGCGACACGTTTGTTTACCGCGCGGCATGTCCACCGTTACCGCCGCCACAGTGGGGCCAAATGTACTTTTTGTGTCAAAATCAGTTTAGAGGTCACAATTTTCATTCAAATTAAACAATTTTTTTTTAAATCTTCGTTACTAAATTCTTTATTGATTCCTCCAGGCCGATTTTTTAATTTTTTTTTATTTATATTTATTTGTTTATAACAAAGTATGAAAAAGTCAATATGTTGCTATAAAATAAAGTTTTTAACATTAAAAAAATTTTTTAGTACATTAGAAATCATGTTTTAGTATTCCTGAAGTAAAATTTTTTATATAATTACACTTTTATTAAATAAACAACACGCTAATTAATTAACTTTTGCAAAAAAGAACATTATTGGATAAAATTCAATTTGTAGCATATTTCTTCGAGTTTTTTACCCGAAATTTAATGCGTAATTAACATATAAACATGCAGTATTAATTTAATAAATTTTTAAAATGTTTAAACAATTTTTTATTGTTAATTGTATATTTTTTCAACATGAACCAACAAAATTTTATTTTTTTACATTTCTCAACATTTTACGCAGGAAATAATTAAATACAAAAATAAAAGGTATTGTGTAAATATTTAACAATTGTTTAAACAAATTAATTGTTTTTTGGTAAATTTTATTTTAAAAAAATTAAAATTTTGATTTCTTTTTATTTCTGAAATTTTTTCTATTTAAATGAATTAAACTCAAAAGTATGGCTTGCAAATGCTAATTTTTATACTTAAATATTTAAACAAATTTGAAATTAGATATAAGGAAGTTATTTTCATAGTTACATATTCTTACAATTTCTTAATAAAATATTTTAGAAATCAAGGTAAAATGTAATTTAGTATGTGGATTCTATTGAAAGTTAAAAATACTAATAATTTGTTTAAATAATTAGGTATAAAAATTAGCATTTGCAAGCCATACTTTTGAGTTTAGTTCATTTTAATAGAAAAAATTTCAGAAATAAAAAGAAATCAAAATTTTAATTTTTTTAAAATAAAATTTACCAAAAAACAATTAATTTGTTTAAACAATTGTTAAATATTTACACAATACCTTTTATTTTTGTATTTAATTATTTCCTGCGTAAAATGTTGAGAAATGTAAAAAAATAAAATTTTGTTGGTTCATGTTGAAAAAATATACAATTAACAATAAAAAATTGTTTAAACATTTTAAAAATTTATTAAATTAATACTGCATGTTTATATGTTAATTACGCATTAAATTTCGGGTAAAAAACTCGAAGAAATATGCTACAAATTGAATTTTATTCAATAATGTTCTTTTTTGCAAAAGTTAATTAATTAGCGTGTTGTTTATTTAATAAAAGTGTAATTATATAAAAAATTTTACTTCAGGAATACTAAAACATGATTTCTAATGTACTAAAAAATTTTTTTAATGTTAAAAACTTTATTTTATAGCAACATATTGACTTTTTCATACTTTGTTATAAACAAATAAATATAAATAAAAAAAAATTAAAAAATCGGCCTGGAGGAATCAATAAAGAATTTAGTAACGAAGATTTAAAAAAAATTGTTTAATTTGAATGAAAATTGTGACCTCTAAACTGATTTTGACACAAAAAGTACATTTGGCCCCACTGTGGCGGCGGTAACGGTGGACATGCCGCGCGGTAAACAAACGTGTCGCCCGGCAGAAAAAAATTCATAACTTTGTTCCTAATTGCGGGACACCAAATTTCAAAACTGGTATTGAATCGTTATATTATAAGAAAGCCTTTACGATGAAATTTGAACGAACTTCCTACGACGTTAAGAACATTGTTTATTTTACAAATAAACAATTAAATTTGCAATAACAATTACAAAAATTAAACAATTTAATTTTGTAATTATTTCATTTGAAACTACATCATTTTCTGAGTATACATACTAAATTTTATAACGATTCGTTTATTCTGTTTCGAGATATTAATTTTTTAATAAAACACTGCAAAAAACTTCAATTGTTTATAACAAAGTGAAATTTAATTTTTTTTAAAAATTCTTTAAGGCATTTAATTAACTCATAATTATGTTTCATTTTTATGTATTTCCAAGTAAATACAGTAAATCTCAAAATTTGCTGTTACACTTCAGGAATTCTTACTCTTCTACATAATTGTTATAGTTAAAACTATGAAAAATTTAAAGTTTCGAAGATTTTAATTTAAAACCTTTTCAAAATTAAATTATTTCTAAATACCTTCATGCTATATATTCAATTATCTAATATTTTAACTGAAAATAATTTTTAAATCAATTTTATTAAAAAATTCTACGAGAATTAAATTATTTAAATACAAAAATAAATAATTTATTGAATAACTAAATATTTCTTAAAATTGAATTCTTATAAAGAATTTTATCAACAATTTTTAAAAAATTGAATTATTTCGACGAATTTTAATAAAATTTTTAAGAATATTTAGGTACATTTTTCGAGGAATTCAACTAAAATTGTATTAAATATAATTGAAATTCTGTGATGAGATTTATTATTTATGAAAATAATTGAATTCCTAAAAAGAATTTTATTATTTATGAGAAGAATTGAATTATTGCCGAGAAATTTATAAAAAAATTTGTAATTATAATAGAACTCCTGTAAAATTTTTATTATTTGTAAAAATAATGAAATTTTTGCGGAGAATTTTATTAAATTTTTTTTTTAAATAATTGATTTCTTTTGGGAAATATTATATCCCCTATTAA